AGATATAGATGTAAAAGTAATTAAGTACACCCAATTTAACTATTAAAAATACCTCTGATACACCATAATACATTTTATCACACAACACCAAACTCATTTGAGAGCTGGTTGTCGAACACTATCAAACCACCAAACCCATTCAAGAGCTAGCTGCCGAATACAATGGTAATACAGTAAATAAATAAAATCAAAAAAGATAAAGAACATCAACAGAACTTCAAATAGCATTAGCAATAAAACGTTTATATATAATAATAATAAGTCCTATTTTAGCCCAGAAACAAAAGTAAATATTAGTATAGCAGGGAAACATTTTCTACTGAGACTTGAGATAATAGAATAAAGCTTTCTCAACCAATGACCATTTTGGACTCAAAATTTTCCTTAACTCTCAAATTCCTTTCTAGTCTCTTTTCCAAGCCTCATCTCATATGTACCTCAAATTAGAAAATATTATCACTATCAAGACTTAGATAAGCTATCTCAATTATTCCCATCCAGCCAACAAAGACAAGTCACGCATCTCGTACAAGATACACACAGTTCAGTCCTTTAGGTTAACCCAGCATCATAGAAACTCGGATGCCATTTCTCATCTTCATTTCTTTTCCCTCCAGAGAAGAGCTTATAACTTATCAAAGTTCTAGAAACTCTTCTTCTTTGGAAAATAAAGCATACCTAAATAGTTAAAAAGTTCATACTTATTAAAATTACATTTGTTTCACAATTCAATTTATCTTTTTCGGCCATTTTATACTATGATAAATTAGTAATTCAATAAATAATTTAATAGTAGAATGTACTCAATTAATTTTAATATTCATTTAACAACACCCTAAATTCCTCAAAGATCTCTTTAAAATGTCTCTAGGTTTTGCCACGAAGACCCACCTTCACTTACACCGAACCCAAAATCTCCTCCCTCTGATCTTCCATCAACGCCCTTACCATCTTCTTCTCCGCCGTTGATCCATCACATTAGTCCTTCATATCAACCCCAATCTTCCAAACCTCCCAACCCATCTACTAATCACCGGCTGGTCCGCCAGTTGGGGCCAGCAAAACATCGGGACTCAAGGGTAGAGCTCAATCCACCCAAACCTTCATGGGCCAGGACCTCCTCCTCTTTCTTTGCCAAAAATTTGGTCTTAGGGCTAACGAAACTCTAGTGCCCATTGGCAATGTGGCCCAACCCAACTGCAGGTGATCCAGACTTCATAACATAGAAAAATAGTTATGGACTAGTAAATTGATGGGGACTTCCTAACAACGAAATAGTTATAGAACTTGCATGTTACGAGAATAACACTATTTTGCTATTTTTAACCAATCATGTAATGTCATGTGAAAAAATTATCACGTGTAACGGAACTTGATTGGTTGAAGATAGCAAAACAGTATTATCCATGTGATATACAAGTTCCTTATAGGAGCATTTCATCATAAATTGATATTTGCAATATGATAGACTAACATATATGTAGCATGTCCTTGACACAGAATAGTTATATAGGATACTATTACCAAATAAGTCCTGGGAAGCTTTTTTCTTGTTATGCCTAATGTGGCCAATTCTACAAGCTAAAGGCTTAAAATCCAAGAGTAGCTTGGAGTTAGAAGAAGCTTTTCTTCGGTCCTTCATTTTTGTTTCAGCTTTTCACTTTAAGTTATGCTCTTTAGTCTTTTCCCTTTAACCAGAGAGATCTTATTTTACTATGCACAAAAGGGAAATCAATACAAAATGAAAAATGTATGCATCGCCCCACACAGGCACATACACAATACCTTAGGTTAAAGCTAGCTTTAATAAATAAAGGTTTGGGACTCAAATTATTAAGAACATTTATCCTTACACTAAGTTTTGATGTTCGGCTCTTTCTTCTTCTAATATTACTTGTATATAAAATAATTATTAAAAAAAAAGACCAAAAACAAACTAACCTTAATGAAGATAACGATACCGACAATGTACTAATAAAAGAGGATTGGAATATGACGAAGACAAGTAACAAAAAAACGGAAAGCCAACAGAGAAAGAAATAAAACAATGACAGATTCCAGGAAAATGAAACAAGAGTCCAAGTATTTTCCCCACATTTTATTTGAGTTGGCTTGCTTTATTTAGACACCCATTATTCTGGAAGTAGGCCATGCTCTCCTCCATGTCCTATGCCTATTGGCTGTGTTAAAATTTCAGACATGGTTAGGTAAGTTTAGCCATCTTTTGTTCTCTAGCTAGCACACAGCACACAGCACACAGCACACAGGACACGCCTCTTTCTTGATAGTAACAGCAAATAGTCACAGACATTGCGAATATTTTGATTTAATTTTGTAGATGCAAAGCTTAAGAATCTAATCATTGATCAAAGACTCGGCCTATCCACTTAGGATCATGTTAGCACTATAGGCTACTTTGTATTTCGAGTAAAAACTAAGGATGCTATAAAGAGCACGAAAGCTACTAGAAATCTATAACTCAACGTAGACAACAAGGATTGTTACAGTTTATGAATCACATGCACATAAGTGAAAATTAATTGTTAATCTTACATAAGAGCCCATATATATATATATATATCAACGATGATAAATTAATCACAAACCCAATTGCGATAGTCCTAACGTTCTCACTGGATAATACAAAATGAAACAAAACTTACTTTCTTCGCATTTGCACTTGTTTGAAAAATTGTTATTTGCACCCTAAATAGTTATCATTCATCCTTATAAATGTGCTTTTTCTTAAAAGTGTTTTTGTCCACCGCTCATTTGCAATATGATAGACTAACATATATGTAGCATGTCCTTGACACAGAATAGTTATATAGGATACTATTACCAAATAAGTCCTGGGAAGCTTTTTTCTTGTTATGCCTAATGTGGCCAATTCTACAAGCTAAAGGCTTAAAATCCAAGAGTAGCTTGGAGTTAGAAGAAGCTTTTCTTCGGTCCTTCATTTTTGTTTCAGCTTTTCACTTTAAGTTATGCTCTTTAGTCTTTTCCCTTTAACCAGAGAGATCTTATTTTACTATGCACAAAAGGGAAATCAATACAAAATGAAAAATGTATGCATCGCCCCACACAGGCACATACACAATACCTTAGGTTAAAGCTAGCTTTAATAAATAAAGGTTTGGGACTCAAATTATTAAGAACATTTATCCTTACACTAAGTTTTGATGTTCGGCTCTTTCTTCTTCTAATATTACTTGTATATAAAATAATTATTAAAAAAAAAGACCAAAAACAAACTAACCTTAATGAAGATAACGATACCGACAATGTACTAATAAAAGAGGATTGGAATATGACGAAGACAAGTAACAAAAAAACGGAAAGCCAACAGAGAAAGAAATAAAACAATGACAGATTCCAGGAAAATGAAACAAGAGTCCAAGTATTTTCCCCACATTTTATTTGAGTTGGCTTGCTTTATTTAGACACCCATTATTCTGGAAGTAGGCCATGCTCTCCTCCATGTCCTATGCCTATTGGCTGTGTTAAAATTTCAGACATGGTTAGGTAAGTTTAGCCATCTTTTGTTCTCTAGCTAGCACACAGCACACAGCACACAGCACACAGGACACGCCTCTTTCTTGATAGTAACAGCAAATAGTCACAGACATTGCGAATATTTTGATTTAATTTTGTAGATGCAAAGCTTAAGAATCTAATCATTGATCAAAGACTCGGCCTATCCACTTAGGATCATGTTAGCACTATAGGCTACTTTGTATTTCGAGTAAAAACTAAGGATGCTATAAAGAGCACGAAAGCTACTAGAAATCTATAACTCAACGTAGACAACAAGGATTGTTACAGTTTATGAATCACATGCACATAAGTGAAAATTAATTGTTAATCTTACATAAGAGCCCATATATATATATATATCAACGATGATAAATTAATCACAAACCCAATTGCGATAGTCCTAACGTTCTCACTGGATAATACAAAATGAAACAAAACTTACTTTCTTCGCATTTGCACTTGTTTGAAAAATTGTTATTTGCACCCTAAATAGTTATCATTCATCCTTATAAATGTGCTTTTTCTTAAAAGTGTTTTTGTCCACCGCTCTTAATTAATAGGGAGTTTCACTAAAACACCCAAAATGGGGGTTAAAATTATAAAAAAAACTCAAGCACTATTTAAACATATAAACACACTCAAAACCCATCATTGCACACACTCAAAACCCATTTATAAACACACCCAAAAAGTTGACTTTAGGGTTGATTTTGGGTGTGTTTCTATGTTTAAATAGTACTTGAATTTTTTTATAAATACATGTCTAAGATTGAGTTTATTTATAAATTTATATAATTAATAATGAGCAGTGTCATCACATCAATTGTCATCGGACCCTAAATTTAATTTTTGAGATTTGCGTAACATGTGAATTAAATGTACTCATTAAAACAACAATTAACGTCTTAGTAATGCTCACCACTAATTAAGTGTTATGAGCAAAATATTATCTTTCTTATTTTTTAGCTCTTTCGGATAATGGTCGATGATTTTTTTGGGATGATTTTAAATTTAATTAATTTTTGGTAAAATTTATAAAGAAAAGACAAAGATTAAGTCAAAGTTAAGGAGCTCTCAAGTCCGAATAAAACCAAAAGAAGGGAAGAAAAAGCCTTGTATTGGTTTAATCATAGGTCAGGCGCCTAAAGCCACAGCCCAGCTCCAATCAGAGCGGCCGCTGACGTAAGACACAGAGAACTTTTCGGGCCCCACATCTCGTGGGGATCCGTGACAAAGAAAGAAGTCTCCTGGCTGGGACCCCAGTAGCCACCTCCCCCTACAATGATGTGACTGCCCTCATCATGTAGCCTCATACCTACACACACCTCAATGCATATCAGCCGTCCGATCAAAAACCGAAACGATCTCTGCACCGCACCACACACGAACACTCTGCCTCTTGTCTCTTTCTCTCTTTCTCTCTTTCTATATCTCGGTCAGAGTCAGCAACGCTCAGAGTGACAGTGTGTGTGAGCATTGCAGATTGTCTGTGCTCCTCTGAATCATCGTCTTCTTCTCCGGTGAAAACCAAAACGCACTCACGAATTTCAAGAACAGCAGATTAAACCAGAACCCGAAGCGGCGTCGTTCTTGGCCTATGTGGCGGTAATTCTTTTCTTTGCTTATAATCTACGTTGCTTCGCGCGGCATTTGTTTTTTGTTTTGCTTTCTTTTGTTACGTTTCGGATCTATTTCGGGATCGGAGCGTTTCGGTAAATGCGTTTCTTCCGTTGTTAAAGAAGCTCGTGTGAGAACTTGTTTGGTTAGCTAGCGCATTTGCATTTTTGTTTATTTGTGTTCCGTTTGGTTGCCGAGAAAGTAGATGCTGAATAAAAGACAATGAGTTGTTTTTCTTGAAATGTCATTGCTGTGTGTGAGGGGCTCATGATTGGAAACTTACGAACGTAAAAGGCTTTATCTTGATTCTTTTCCATTTTACATTTCTTCGTTTTCTATTCAGCCAAACAGAAAAGAAAAGCTTGAAGGTGTTAGCTTTTTGTTGTGTGATTGCTGCTTTCTTAGGGTTTTGTTGGATCTATGAGTTCTTGCTTTCAATGTGATGATTTCTGTGGTTGCAAGACTGGATTGTTTAAGCTATGTCATAATTTTATTTCCTCTACATAGATCTATTCTTTTCTTTTTCTTCCATATGAGTTTGGTGACATCAGGACTTTACAAGTTGTCCCATTGTTATTGAAAAGTGCAAAAAACTCTCTGTATTTGGTTACCTTAAAATTGGAATGTGATATATCATTCTTCCCTGTTTACCATCTGCATTGGATTGTTTGATCAAATCCTGTGTTTTACAGCCCCCTGATTTGGAACTTATGTGATTATTTTGATTATCGTTTTTCTTTTCTTTTCAGAATTTAAGGTTGGATAAGAGTGAGTGGGAAGTGAGTGCTGGCAGCTAATATGTGAAAATGAAGCTCCAGAGCTACAATGCAATCTGATGTATGTCCAAGTAGTCGCTTTGTAGAACCTGCTGAGGATATGGGATCCAGAGTAGGGCTCAAAAATAGTTCAAAAGAGCAGAACAAGTCTACCATAGAGGACAAGGTTCAACAGCCCCAAATGAGTCGAAGAACGAAGCATCTAGAGAAGGTGAAAGTGAGAACTGGTGTTGGTTTGCCAGAGTATGATCTGCATCAGAAAGCAAGACAAGATGCAGATGATAGTGCCTTGGTCCAAGAAAAGTCTTTGCGAAATCGGCATAGGCAGAGTATGAAGGCGAATGCAGCTAAAGTTGATGAGCTTGTCAAGCACATGTCAAACTTGCCTGGTTATCTTCAGCGCTCTGAGAGAGGAGAGAACGTCAAAGAAAAGGCATTGAATGTTGGGGTTCTGGATTGGGCTCAGCTAGAAAAATGGAAGCACAAGCAGAAACATCCCCCAGAAAAAGGTAGCAATAGTTTATTGAGCAGTAGCCGAATTTCATCCTTGGAAAAGACTATTGGATCATCTACATCATCTGATCTGGTTCGCACTGGGACACAACACTCCTCGCGCTGTTCCAATCTCAAGTCATCTCAAAAGGAAGGCCTTTCTCAGGGTGCCAAACCATCTATCCAGAAAGATGTGCGCTTTCAAGACTCTAAAACTGCTTCGAAGAATGCCATTCATGGGCACAAAAAGATACCCTTCCCCTATGGGTCTCGTGGAAGAAACCACTCAGATATAATGGTTGATAAGGGAAAGGGAAAAGATTCAGGTCAGAAGATCACTTCAGAGATGGGAAATGCGGCAGCAAACTTGAAAAGTTACCGAGTCTCACTCGGTCAAAAGGAAGAGGTTAGCACTTGGGATGGTCAAGCTAAGAATACCAAGGGGTTGCAAGAACCAGATATCAAGAGGAAGAATATTGATCGAAGAATCATTTCGGAATATCAAGAGGGAGCTATGTCGTCTAACTTGGGAAGATATGATGTCTCACTCAGTTCAAAAGGAAAGGCAATTGCTTCCGATGGTAAAACTGAGAAAAGGATGGAGGAGTTGCAGAAACCAGATATCAATCTATGTCATCAACGTTTCCCTGATGAGGAGAATACCACTGTTCTCTCTCCACCAAAGGAATTGCCCCAAAATGGCTTTACAGAGGTACTGGAGCTTTCAAAACCAAGAGCATCACGGGATGAGCGTGTGACCGAAGCTAAAGGGATTAGCTTCTCAGGTGGCTTTTCTACCAAGGAGATGGACTTTGCAGAACTCTGTTCTGAAGTTCCACACTCATGCCCACTGCCTTCTGGAGTTGAGTTTAATAAAGTGTCAAACATGATGTCAAGTGGCTCAATCAACAGTAACAGTATGGGGCCTTGCTTTGTTCCATCTCACATGCGCTCATGCTCAAAAGGAACACAAGGCCTGCTATATGAAGATAAATTTATAGAGAACAAATATTCAGAGAAAAAGCTTACCCGTTCAAGTTTTGATACTTCCAAAACATCAGATCAAGAAGAGCTGGGAACTAGAAATGGCAGAAACCCAACTCCCAATCGCCGATTTAGCTTCAGCTTAGGTCGGCTTGGTAGAAGTTTCAGTTTTAAGGAAAGTTCAGATATTCCACAGTTAAGTTCCACATATGTGACAGTCAAATCAGGTCCTGTGAGATCTGGAACTTCTGATTGTCCAGATAATCCAAACAGAGAGAAGGCAAGCAGTCATAATAGAGCTAGGTCAAGCCCATTAAGAAGGTTACTAGACCCAATACTGAAGCACAAGGAGGCAAATCCACACCATTCTGTTGAAGCTGTTAAACCCTTGAAAGCAAATTTTAATTCCTTTGTCCCCAGGCCAATCAATGTCAGTGACTCGTTACAAGCTGCGAAGAGTGAGGCATCATGGGTTCAAGCTTTTTTGCAATTAACAATCAAGAACGGACTTCCTTTGTTTAAATTTTGGGTTGACAACAACAGCAGCTGTCTTGCAGCAACCACGAAATACTTATCATCTGGAAAGGATGATGCAGTCCAATATTTTACATTTTACTCTGTTAATGAAATCAAGAGAAAAATTGGTGGCTGGATGAGCCAAGGAAGTAAAGGCAAAAGTTGTCGCTATGTTTACAACGTTGTTGGTCAAATGAAGGTTTCTAGCTCTGACTTCTCCAACGTTGACGGACAGAACTTCAGTAAGTATATGGTAAGAGAGTCTCTGTTGTATGGTGTTGAGCTAAGACAAGCAGATCAAGAATCACCAAAGTTCGTACCAACAAGGGAGCTTGCTGCTGCTGTTGTCAAGATACCTAGCAAAGACTTGAGCCATGCTGAACAGCAGACTGACGAGGAAGTTCTGGAGAAGGGCTACCCCAGGTGTTCACCGGAGGATAGATGCTCTTACAGCTGGGAAGACAGTAGTATAGTCATTCTTCCAGGTGGTGTCCATAGCTCACCAAATAAAGGAGAACCTTCGCCCCTAATTGACCGTTGGAAATCTGGTGGGTTATGTGATTGTGGAGGTTGGGATATTGGTTGTAAACTGCGTGTTCTCTCCAACCAGAACAAATCCTGCCAGAATCTGAAAGCATCCACATATTATCCTTTTTCCGATCATTTTGAACTTTTCGATGAGGTATTCATTTTTTGTTTCAGCTAAGCGCCATCTCTACACCACACAATTGGTGATGTTGTTTTAGCCAATTTACATGTTGGTTTTGTATTTCATTTCAGGAGGGTGCACAGCAGAACAGGCCAGTTTTCAGTTTGGCACCAGGGAAGGATGGAAGCTACTCGATTGAATACAATACATCACTTTCTTTGTTTCAAGCATTCTTCGTCTGTGTTGTTGTGATCAGCAGTAGGAAACCATCAGATCTGTCGGAAGTGAGTAACAGGTCAGAAGCAAAAGTTTTCCAGGAACCGAGTTTGATTGGAAACAATGGAATCCAGGTGACAGGGCCAGCAAAATATGCCCCAAATCCACCACTGTCCCCCATTGGAAGAGTCTAGCTTCGTGCAAGCAAAGCCTTTCGCTGTTCGAGTCCAACAATGGATGGTCTTCAAGATTCAAGAGGCAGTTTATAGAACTCCTAAAGGCATACCATCTCATAGTCAACAAATCATGTTGTTTGAAAACTTGCATGAGTATGACCCTTGCAATTTTGTGCTGGTTGTTCTGCAGTACCAACATTACCATGTGTAAAGGAAAAAATGTCGTTCAATACAGTACTCAAATACTAGAACTCAACATCTTCGAAGAATGATGGTGTAAATACTCTTATGCAGGGTTATTTCAGATATCATAGTATAATTCTCCGTGATGCCTCTGGTTTTTAGTTCAAGATTAGTTTAAGATTACGACATTTTGAATTGAACAGGTGAAAAATTATAAGAAAAATCAGGCAAACAAAGACGAGAAGACGACAAAGGGGCAATATAGCCAAATTCCAAAATACAATATAATTTGTAGGTTTCACAAGTCAAGAACTGAAGCATGGTGAATGCAGATAAACCATTTACCATCAATTCTCTCAAACACATTTGTTGCAAACTGTCCCCCCCAACTGCTACCCTTTGTCTTAACCAATTCCACACAAGAAACATACCCTACATCCCCTATAACACGAACATTGACATCTTTCAGCTCAATCTCTAGCGGAAATTCATAGTTCGCCCATACATAGTCCCAGCTAGTCATAACATCTTCATAACCATATATCCCACGTGCACCAGGGTGCACACAACAGACTTCTTTCCGGTTGGCCCAAAGGGCTTGCATGGCAGCTAGATCCCCAATCCTGAATGACTCGTAAAATTGAGCATTTGCTGCTAAAACAGAAGTTGTACTATCTTGGCGCAGAAGTTTGAGGCTATCCCTAATTTGTGCTGCTTTAGCATAGTTCTCCTCTGCAATGGCAATGTCTAGATCACGCTCCAAGGTTTGCACATCCAATAAGGCACTTTCGCCACTTGCATTATCCTTTGAGTCATCGCCCTTCACATTACATGGTCTTAATAACCGCAAACCAGAGGCCTGAATAGAGGATGCTGTACTGAAAAAGTACAGATTAGAAGTGCTCAAATGGATGGTACACTGCATCAAAAAGGTCAATGGACTCAAGGCTTTGATGAACATGTAACAGTCGAAACCTTACAATTTATGGGTAAATTCCTATCAGAGGTTTTAAAGATAAGCATATAGATTACAGTGGCAAGGAAAATAAACTTACTGGGTCTTTCAGTCCGCAATTTGATACGACGATCCCCAGGCAAAACCTGATTTTTATTCCCCCTTCCAAACGTCTTTGCTACAACTAAATTGTATTGCTTTAAAGAAGGTGAAGAGAGATGATGAAGCATCCCGAAACTATAATTGCAGGAACACGGCAAGCTGTAAAATTCCCTAAAAGAACCATTTCCCTAGAAAAATAAAGATCAAAATAAGTCCATATCACCTCAACTTGAAATATAAGAATGTAAACAACAATACAGGAAATAATTAACAAATTCAAGCATCTTCCATTCGTTTCTTTCCTAACTTTCAAAAACCCAATCCGAATTTGAGATTTCCAACACTGTGAAATGGAAATTCAGAAAGAAAGTAAGCTTTTTTCATACAAAGATCACAACTTTAAAATATACATATACTCTAAAGCTTATCATAACTCACATTTAAGCAGAAACTAGATCCATGAAGCGCCATGAAGAAGAAGAAGAAGGTTTGCAATACAACCCAGAAATTATATAACGAATAGGTCAAGGGTAAGGATAAGGATTAGGGTTAGGGCTTTGAGCTCTCAGTCTCCTGCTAATATTTAGAGAGCCAGTAGGAACTGAAAAATAAGGACCAGTGGAGGGCATTTGAGAAGACAAAAGAAAATGGGTCTGATTCAATGGGCCGGCCCATATTTTAGCAAGTTTAGGTCAACTTGGTTGGGCCTAGGCCAAACTCTGGACCTTCCAGAAAAGATGTCGTTTTCCTTCTCGAAACAAAGAAGAGACTCCTTCCAAGAAACTTCTGGGGACATATCGTACTTGTTGTAAAGGCTTAATCGTGTAATGGTGTGGCTCCAAAACATTCCAAGATTGAAAAGATTTCTTAATGAACTAACAACAATACATGTGAATGTCCACCATTTTCCTTGTCAACGACAAATTGCACCCAAAAAATTAGCATAAGATAATATCAAATCGCATATCTCCAATACTTTATTCTTCACTTTGTTTTTTGTTTTTCTCTAGGAAATTTCAATTGCTCCAACTTACTTCATTGACAACCAAGTTTTCTTGTTATTTTAAACTTCTAGGACTTAAACCATATTCTCAGGGACGGACGGACTCAGAATTTTAAAATGAGGTTGGCTAAATTTACTTTATGTTCAAACATACTAAGTAGATAGAAAATTCAAGTGAATTTCATTGATAACAAATATATATATATATACACCCATTCACAAGGAAATTGCGAGCATGTTTAATAAAGTATAACCTATTGAATAAGTAAGAACACCAAAATCGATTACAAATCCTATTTGATAATTCAAAACTCATAAATTGAAACTAATAAGCCCTAATTACAAATCCCCAATTGATAATTCATAAGTCTCAATTACAAATCCCTAATTGATACTTCATAAACTCCAAAAGAAACTCCAATCTCTTTTTCTTGTTATTTTAAACTTCTAAGGCGGGGAGACCTAAACCATATTCTCACATGGCATGTTTCATGGATTTCAAGACCCAAAAGAGTGCTTTGTAATCAAACTATATATATTTTGGTCAACAGTTTGACATTTGGTCCAAGGCAATTGAAATATTCAAGTTTTGTGAAAAGACACTCTCCTCCGTACACCTAAAGACTTTGGTCAAAATTGGAAAGCGCTTGAAGGGTTTTCAAAGAAAAAATGATGAAGGGGATCTGATAAAATCCGTGCACATTTTTTGACAGACCAATGGGATCTTCGGAAGGGCTGTGTGTGGGCATGAAATGGGACTCTTAGAAAGGTTCAGACTGGTTCACGTAAACGCAACCGACAATGTTAGATTTGCAGAGTTCGTAACACGGATTTTTGTATTGTGGTAGTAAATTATTGACAAGTCATCAGATTTTGCATGCAGCAACAAGAAGTGGTTCGTTCAGTGGTCCTGGTTTATATAAGTCACGCTGACCCTTTCTTCCTTGGATGCTGCCTGCCTGCTTCTGGTTATTTTGATGCCCCTCTGCACACAAAAAAGTCGATGACATAGAACATTGAGTAGGCCATATTGTCCATTGGGCAAACATCAGTGAACTTGTCTAACAAGCCTCCCAAACATCCAGGATTTATGAACTTGTCTAGCAAGTATTCTATTTTATTCTTTCACTGTGTTTATTTACACATGGGTATTTGAATGATTCTAATTCTTTACTTTCCGTTCATTTACGTACACATAAAGAACTAAAATTTCTGTGAATTTAATGTTAAAATTCATAATTAAATACTCTTAAAACAAGGAATAAAAAATTAATTAGAATAAAGTTGTTGATTCGATATTTACAGTTGTTCATGAACGCGCATAAAATAAGAGACCGTAAAACTCTAATATATTGGCATCGAGAGAGCCTATATATGTTGGTGGGTAGAGCTTAGCTATGTATAACCATTCATAGTGGCATGTGTAATAAGCTAATAAACAAAACAAGTAATAATTAGAGATATAGGATTGGAGAATGAGAAGGGAGTGCTGAGTGGGGAGAAGGAAAGCGTGTAGAGAGGGGAATCTTTTGCGTTTTGGCATGGAATGGAAGTAGAGATGTAGGGAGGTCATGTGACACATCACCCGGAAGAAGCCGCCTTGGCCGTTTATTGTCTTCTGGTTGACTGCCTGCTCTCTCTCTCTCTCTCATCATTCGCTGCTTAACCTTCCTTTAACCTAGAGGTGTCAAACGGGCCGTGCCGTGCCGGCCCATCCCATTTAAACTCGTGCTTTTAACATTTTCGTGTCGGGCCGGGCCGGCCCATTTAATTTATCGGGCCGTGCCGTGCCGGCTCATTTAGTAAAATTATTGATCCCGGCCCGGCCCAAAGCCCATGTCCATATTGAAACGG